ATAAATCTTTTAGTAATTATAAAGGATTATAAAAAACATTACAGTATTATTAAAAATTTATATAAATTAGTATATAATCATAGCAAATATAAGAGTATAAATATATTTATCATTATTGTCTTTATATATATTCTAGAAAGAATATAATAAATACAGTCGTCTTTTTTTATAATCATACCAAAATCTGAATATCGCTTATTTAAAAATATAGTAAAATTTAAGATATTCATTTTAATTATATTATTTATAGACATATAAGCTAATATTAGAATTATTTTTTCAAATTTTTTATAAACTATATTAAGATAAATACTAAAACTAGAATGTTATTCATATTAAATTCTTTCATAAAACCTTCATATAACTAATAGAATTTCTCTAAATAAATTTTAACTAGATATAATACTTCTAGAATATATTATCTAAAATACCAATCTTCATTATTTTAAATATTAATAAATTTGTTATTACATTTTGATAAAGTTTTAGGTAAAAGTATATAACTAATAAAATTAATTGATTAAAATTAGCTATTTTTATATTAAAATTTTCTATATATTTTAGATAAGTATCAAATATTTAGTATATAGTTATTTCTAATTATCCTTCTATTATTTTGATTATATAATTTTTTCTTTAATGAATGAATTAATTAATTTCTATATATAATAACTTTTTAATCATAGAGTTACTACCTAAAATAAGTATTTTAAGTTCTTTAGAGTAATACTAATTATTGTAAAACTAAAATATTAACTAATTATTATTAATTTTTTTAAATTTAATGATTAAAAGTAAGATAATTGATGAATATTTATAATATATCTCATTTATTCTAAAAAGACTTATAGAAGAGTTTTATTAGATCTAAAAGATACTATTTTTACTAGAAAACTAAAAAATAAGTTTTATATTTTGATTGTAATAATCTATTTTTTTCTATTTATAATTAATACTTATTATATATTAAAAGCTATTATATTATTTAATACTATAATAGATTGTAAGCTAAAGTTATTTATAATAGAAAAATTTAAAAAAAAATTGATTTTTTGTTAGTTTTATAATTGAAAGACTTAGAATAAATAGATTTTTGAATATATTATTCATATATTTATATACAAATTTATAAGTTAGCTTATCTAAAATAGTTTTTATTATAAACTTTTTTTTGTTAGATTTTATTAGACTTATGATAATAAACTTAATATATTTTTTATTAGATTTATAATGAAAAGACTTGAAATAGTTAATTTGTATATAAATTAATAAGTTAACATACCTTTGAAATATCTCTGATATATATTTTTTTGTTAAATTTATACAATTATTTATTAGATTTATGATAAAGATATTAGAACAATTCTTATTTATGAAAATTTTGTTAAATTTATTTAATCATTATATTATTTAATAAATAAATCTTATATAAAAATAGATCTTGATACATTATTTTTTCATTAAATTTAAGAAAACTGTTAGATTTATTTATGTGATAATAAGAATTATTAGATTATTTTTATTAGACTTATATAATAAATATGCTTTTAACAAGTTAATCCTTATAAAATCCATTCCTAATATATTAATTTTATTAGATTTAATAAATATAACTAAAAAGTTAAAAATTTAAAGCTTTTAAAAGCTATTTTAATATAATAATAAAATTGATATAGTTTTTAAAGTTTTAGAACTCATATATAGTAAAAGAATAATATAGAAATTAAGAATCAAGAGCTTTTAAAAGATATTTTAATACAATTAAAATATTAATATAGTTTTTGAAGTTTTAGAAATCTCATATACAATATGAGAAGATTTAACTCTTAATTTATTTAAAAAGTGAAAAATATTTATAAAAATTATATTAAAAATTTATTAAATTATATCATAAAAAAGAATTTATTTACATTTTATTTTAAAAATATTAACATATCAAACCTTTTTTTATACTATTATAATACTATAAAATTTTAAATTTAAATATTAAATAAATTTAAATACCCTTATTATTTTTAATATAACATTTATATAAATTAAGTACTTTCAAATTCACTTCAATTATAAAATTAAAATTAATAGTAAATAATTTTTATTTATATTTAATATAATCTAATTTTTTTCATATTTGTAATTAATTTATCAATTTCTTAAAAGAAAAAATTTATTTTTTTAATTAAAAAACAAAGAAAAAAATAAAAGTAAATATAAATAAGTAAAAGTGAGTAAAAGAGTTAAAAAAAAGTAAGTAAGTGAATAAGAGTAAAAGAAATAAAAAAATGAGAAAGAAATATTGATTAAAATTATAATGTAACTATAAAAAGGTTATACATAAATTTAAAATTTTATGATGATAATAAGAATTTTATTTGTATCTTATTTTAATATAAATGCAATTAAATTTAAAAGTTAGGTTTTTAATCAACTATTTTAAGATGATAATATAGAAACTAAAAAAATTTTTTTAAGTTATGTTAAATCTGACTTAAAATATAAAGTAAAAAATTTTTTTTTGTAATTTCCTTTCTTTTTTACAAAATTAAATATGTTTATCAATTTTTTTAATTTTTTCACTTTGTTTTATTACTAATTCCGTAAATATGCAGATCGAATATACTAGAAAATCCTTTGGCTGTTCAACCCTAAAATCTTTGTGACATAATGGGTACTTCCCCTGAAAAATTATTACAACTCGTAAAAACGTGGTAATTTAATTAATTGAAAGAATTTCTTCACAAAAAATTTTTATTTTTATTTTTTAGCTTTACTTTTGAATAAAAAGAATAGCAATGTCTTACTATCAAGGAGGTAATCAAGGATATAGACCACCACCACAATCACAAGGAACTCAATATAGTGGTGGTGGTGCTCCACCAAGTTATGGACAACAAGGACCTCCACCAGGTGCTTATGGACATGGACAACAGGGATATCCATATACAGGCCCTCCTCCCCAAGGTATTATTATCAACTTAAATATTTAGATGTCGGTTAAGGATTATGTTAAAAGGTTAAGTTGTTAAAGAAAAGAGATTTTGCCTACTATAAATTTTTTTCATTAAAATAGGTCGTCCTCCAAATAGTGGTCCTCAGCAACCACCACCAGGTGCTGACCAACAGCTTTTCTTTTGGTTTCAAGCTGTAGATACTGATAAGAGTGGAGCTTTGACCACGGAAGAATTACAAAAAGCTTTAATTAATGGTGTGCATTCATAATTAATTAAAGTTTAAAAATTCTTTTCCTTATATTAATTTGAATCAATTTAATTGCAGGCGATTGGAGTCCGTTCAATATGGAAACTGTTCGTTTAATGATGAACATGTTTGATACTGGTATAAACAAAATTATATTCTATTATAATATTATAAATGGTGTAATTGGATCATTGGTTAACAAAGATTTAAATTTTTTAATAATTATTAAAATACTAGATAATAATGGCACAATCACGTTTCCGGAATTTGCAGGACTTTGGCGTTATATTGAAGATTGGAAAAAATGTTTCCAAACTTTTGATGCTGATGGTTCTGGTACAATTAATTTCGCTGAATTAAAAAATGCTTTGAGAACGTTCGGCTATAACTTGAGTGATAACTTCATTAACCTTCTTATTAAGAAATATGATAAATATGGTAAGTTTATATCTTTTTTAATGATTATTCTTAATGTTTAAAAAAAAAACTTGTGAAAGAGAGGGGATGAATTATTCTCCCCTTGTTAACACAAAAACTTGTAAATATGAATTATTAACCGATCTAAGGCGGTAACAAAAATGCAGGGAAGGGTGATGTAACTTTTGACAATTTCGTGGTATGTTTTATTTTTTTATTTTTTTTTAAAAAAAAAATCATTTTTTATTTTGTAAACGTGAGATATAATATATATATATATATTTTTTTAGCAATCTTGTGTGACCGTTAAAACACTTACAGATGCCTTTCGACGTTATGATACCGATAATGATGGTTGGATTTTGATTAATTACGAACAGGTAAATTTTTTTATATTAAATGCCATTATTATTTAAGATTATTTATTTACATTAAATTTTTTCGTAGTTTTTGGAATTGGTAGTCAACAATCGATAGATTTCAAATTTTTTTTAAAAAATAATAAACAAGAAAAAATGTGATTTATTTTATTTTGAAGTAAATTTCGTTAATTTCTTTTATATTTATTGTATTTTACTAAATTAGTTTTTTTTCTTTTAAAACAAGTATTTAATAAATATTAATATATAACTATATATAACTTTGCTTTTGAGAAGAAATACACATAAGGAAATTATTTTATATTCTTCGACGTTTCTTTGTTGATGTAGGATTTGATGAAGCATCGTTAATTCTTTGTCGTATAGCATTAACAGTAGAAGATAGCGACTAAAAAATAAAAATAAAAAATGGTTGTTTAACGTAGAAGGAAAGTGACATAAGAAAAATGATTAATATAAAATAATTACATTTGAATCGATATGTGGTTGATAAGATGTAGAAGCCAAACTTGTTGAAAATGAAGTTGGATATCCAACTCCAACTCCAGGTATCGGCGGTTCATGACTAAAGTAAATAAATTTGTCGATATTATATAATTTATAATTATTACGTCTAAATAACTATTTAAATCACTTACGATTGAATTGAATAAGGATAATTATAATTTGAATAACCATAATTATAATAGGTAGATAAATCTTCTTGAGGATACATAACTGGAACCGGATGTGACGGTGCATCATTCGATTGTATTGGTCGCGTTTTTTGAAATTTTGTTAAAGTATTCTCATCTGCAATTTTAATTAATTGATGATTAATCGATCAAATATTTTTGCATCAAAAAATGAAATTTTTATTTTTTTACCTTTCTTTTCATTAGTTTTAATAGAAATTACATGACGTCTATCTATTAATTTTTGTCTTGTATCTACAATAGTTTCATACTCTGGACCATAACGTACTCTTAGATTCGAACTAAAGAAGATGTGATCATCAACCTTCCTTTTTGCTGCTCTAAATATTAGGAATGTATATTATAAGAGTCGGATATTTAGACGATCGGGATAATATTTATTATATATACCTTGCTTGAGGAAGTGATTGAAATTTTATCCAATAAACATCAGTGAATTCTTCACATGGATAATCATCAAGGCATCGATATCTAAACAATTAAATTTTTTTTAGGATTTTATCGAGTATATTATGAATCAGAATTAATTTGACTTACTCTTCTATGGTCCCATAAAGTGCAAATAATTCGAGAAGTTCTTTGGTTAAGCCAAGTGCAGGAACGTTTTCAACAACCAAATACCTTTAAGAAGGTTCGTTAGAAAGTAGAAAGGAACATTACCGATAAACACCTTTTGGAATATAATACAAACCTTGACTCTTGATTAACCGTGTAAACTCGTACAGCAGTAGGTTTACGACCGGCTCTATATGTAGGTCTTTCAGGAGGAACTAAATATTAAATAACACGTAACATAATAAGTTTATTTGTCCAATATTGAGTATTGATCCACGAGACAGAAAACTAACAACTAAACTGTTTAAGTCTTCACTCATTCTGTTGGTTTCGAAATATGTTATATCTACGTGAGAATAAACTTATTATGTACATGAGTCAAATATTAAGGTATTCAAAGAATAATAGTGATAAATTGAAACGCGTAAAAATTTTTTTTTCCAAAAAAAAAAAAAAAAGATAATTATGCACGATCGATAAAAGTCCTAATGATTGGTTAGAAATTAAATTTATATCACGTGAATAGACGTTTTACTTTTCAATTAAATATGGCCGAAATTATACTTAATGTTAATCAACAGGAACACAAATTTTTTTTTCGAAAACAATAACATAAAAAATACCAATTGTTTTTGGCAAAGGGAAAAAAAAAACCCCAAAACAACAAACCTCCCCATTAGTTTCTTGATTGGATAAATTTTTTTTTTTTTTTTCTTTTAAAACAACACAACATAATAAATCAAACAAGAGGATAATCAACTTTGGGTAAACCTTATATTTGTAATATATATTTTTTTGGTTGAACATTCCTTTATTAGGTTGTTGAACAAAATAGATCAACGTAAACAAAAAACTTTAATTTTGTAAAGGTTGGGGATCAAGTCTTATGTAATTTGGTTATTACACGTCACTAATCAAGTTTAATAACCAACTAAACGAGATATTTCATGATATTATTTTGATATTGAAAAAATCCGAGGCGACAATATTCATGCGGCGGTTATTCTTATGAATGATTGACATGCATCTTTTTATTCGGAGGGTTTATTAGTATAAACTTTACGTCATCAAAGTAGTCACAGGAATATTAGTAATCAAACGTATAAAAATTAATTCCTCTAGAAATAAATTTTTTTTTTTTTTTTCATGCAAAATAAAAAATGTCATCTAATGTAGCTCTTCTCACTAAGTGCAATAAGTAAAATTAATTTTGCATGCCGTGCAGACAGTGAAGGTAAAAATATTTCGGTTCATGCATGCGATCCAGGTTGGGTAAGTCATAATATAAATAATCATGTATTATACATCCATTTTTCCGAGGCACAAGTGTCATAACTTGTTTGTTTAATTCGTATTAGGTTGCAACTGATAATGGCAGGACCTAATGCAACGAAAACTCCTGGTATGTTAATCACTATTTTCTATGCACAGATATGATTTATTAAATGTTTGCAGTCACGTTAAATATTTGTTAAATAATAGACCAGGGTGCCGACAAGGAAGTTGTCCCAAAGACCAAGAATGGTGAATTTTGGAGGGACAATAGTATAAATATTTTTTTTTTTTGAAAAGAATAACTTCAAGTAAGATAATCAAAATTATGCAGCAAAAATTTTTTCAACGTTTTGTTTTATAGCAGAAATCTCGTGTTTATTTCTTAATTCACATGAAAATAAATAAAGATCAAACATAATTTATTGTTCCGAAATAATTATATACATGAAGCGGGAAACGCCACAACCAAGAAATTCGTTTTTCTGCATCTATAGGCGAAAAAAAAAGAAAAACTTTTCATTTTTTTTTATAGATGAATATATGTTATCTTTTTTTTTTCGTCAGAATCTTTTTCATTCCAAATTTGTTATAAAAAAAAAATTTTTTTTCTTTCATCTATACCATAAGAAGGTTGTTTAATAAATTTTCGCAAATTTTCAAAGTCCGGGCCAGAATTAACAAATCAATATAACTCTTGATTTACGCCACAATTACGCCGATCTGCATATATATAATGTAAAATAATTTTTGACCTTTTATATTGTCACATAAAATCCGCTTTTTTTGTTTGCTGCAGTATGTTTTGACTTATAAGCTCCCCAATTGTTATTTTTTCTTACATGACATCAAAGATTCCAAAAGAATTCTAGCGTTTCATGTCATGTAATAAACAAAGTGTAAAGATGTGCAAGGGGGGGGGGGGGGATTATCATTATGCGAAAATAGGATATTAAATGCATCTACACGTATTAATAATAATCAACCGCTTAAATCATATTCTTTTGACGTGTATTTAAGATTTATAAAAAAAAAAGTGATCCTCATTACGCGCATTAGGCGCAGTTTTGCAAAATTTTTTTTAAAGTACTCGCATCATCTGGATAAGCTGTGTTCGTTGATCGTACCACATCATGATTATAGGATAAACTTTGCTTTATTTTGTGCTTGTGCACGAACACTGACTCTCGTTTGTACAACCTCCCTTTTAACATCGCTGAAAAAAAATCGCAATGATCATATTTATATATAACAAAGAATTTTTTTTTTTTTTTTTTTAAAAAAAAAAAAAAAAAAATTTCATTATTGTCCATCATTGTGTAAAATATTTTTTTCGCTTACGCCAATAAGATTTTCAAGTTATTTATAGTATAAGGGTCAGCCAGTGTAGATCAGGTTTCTTATCTTTTTTTTTCCTTTTTTTTTTCCTTTTTTTTTTTTTTTTTTTTTTTTTTTTTTTTTTTTTTTTTTTTTTTTTTTTTTTTTATTTTTTTATTTTTTTTTTTTTTTTTTTTCTTTTTTTTGTTTTTT